CAAGGTGTATCCTGGACGACCACCAGTGGAGAGTCAACGTTTAATTTTCGCCGGACGTTTAATATCAGATAACGATGATCTCAATGCCGTTTTCGGCCCAGTACGCTCGTCTTCGCTCATAGATTTGATTTTCAGAATCCCAGCAACAGGTGCGGCCTCGCAACATCCTACAGCGCTGGGCCCGATATCTCGGCCAACCGGATAATGCTGAAGTCGAGGGGGACGGTTTGAATGGTCAAGGAGTCGCCGCAGATGGTGCTGATGAAGGTTTCGATGTAGTGGAATTTGCCTATACCCTTTTCCGAGTCAGTCTCATGATCGCCATATGCTTGGCCTATTCATCGTGGGAACGAATTGTCCTTGTTGCCCTCGACGTGGCGTTCTTCTATTGGTATGCTTATGCCCACTTGCCTCTACTTCCTTGCTGCAAACTGTATTTTTCGTGAATAGGTGGCTATTCACCAATTCTATAAAGTGATCCAATTCTTAACTTTTAAGCTTCAGTTGTTGGAGACTTTTCCTCTGGTGTGTGTTGTACAGTTTCATGAAAAATCTTAGCGTGCCTTAGTTTTCTACGCTGTTGACGCATAGTTCTCGGATCGCCCTTTCAAAAATTTAATCTCACGGACTACGTGAGACAATATTATTGTAATTTACGTCACTGCCTCCACGCGAACCGATGCACTCTACACGACCAAGTGGTATGAGCAATCACTGAACAATCAGGACGTTTAAACTAGCGGTCTATGTTATATGGGGAACCCAAACGACCACGAAGCCCCGATCGAAGTCAAATTGCCTATCTTTGCAATCTTGCACTGTGATCGATATACCCCTATCTCCGACTCGTAAGGTAAGGTATCTTAAGATGCATCGCTTATACGTTGGAAATGGACAGTTGCGGTATAGAGACTAGATGAGATCTGTAATTCTGACAATTAAAACATTTCGAATGTTAGACTGGAAGATGCCAAAATTTCACAATACCCCCGCCACCCGTTATATGTCGGCCTTGACCTACCGTAACAGCTTGAAACTGGTTGCATTTTTGACTTTCAGGAAGCAGCCGCCTTAGGCCGGGGCACCTCAAAGACAGAACGCCTCACATTTGAGGCTTGGTACTCAGGTGCCAACTCCATCAACAGGCATCCAGACCTTCCTTCAGCCTATAAAGTCCTACGTCACTACATATGCCGTGACTAAAACAAGACAGTCACACGGAGCCTAAGACAACTGAGCAAACACGGTCTGTCGACCAATTCACCCAAAGGGGGGACGCAAACGCAACTAACCCCAATTAAGGTGACGACACACAATACAGGAGGCCAGCAACACTCACAAGCGACGGCCAGTCGGCCAAGGCAGCAAAAGAAACATAAAATGAATCAGCCCAAGGCCAAATAATTCGGCTGTCTATTCGAAATTCTGATCGATTTTTGCACTAGACGCTTTGATAATGGAGAGGCGCTCAAGCTCTTCGAATGGTCAACCAAGTAAGTCCCTCGATCCGGTGAGCACTTTCCTTTTCCCAGAGCATTTAGCCCATTGCTGACTACAAGGACCATTGCTACTACCGAGAACAGTGTAACATGCTCTTGGCTTGAATTATAGCTAGGAAAACTTGCCCAACATTCATCTTTTCCTCCTGGACCCGGGTTAGGTAATGGCTGACTTCGCGTAGAGCCACGCAGCATTGCTGGGCCACGGACTCGCGCCCTGTCGGCTACGGTCAGAGCACGCATAGTCACATAAGATTGCCGCTTGTCGACCTATCACGGTGGTACGATGACCGTGACCCGTTCCTTTAATACCTTGGAGTTACGACCTAAGGCCCACGCGGAAGGTGCCTGTAATTTGCACCCTCACTTTTATTGATTCCGCCTAACAGTTGGGTTGTTTTGTGCACTCTGCCGCGCTCACTTTGATTTTGAGCCGATTTTACTTGCAGGCCTATCAGCACTACTGCAGCAACCAGTCCCTCTCCGCCTCCTTCCCGGATCTCTTCGGATACGCTGAGGACGAATTCGACGACTGTCGGGAGCGTCTTGATGTGGTTATCGAGCAGGCCCTCTCTGGCCTTAACTTCAATCTTACCATCCAGGAGGACACGGTGAGAGGCCTTTTCTCCTTTTTTATGCGGACCTACTCATTTTCGCGTTTTCATTTCCCATTCATTGGTTGCTTTAATTTTGGGCTGTATGTATTGATGCACATGCTTCAAGTCTGTCCCTGATTCTCTTAATGGCGCCTGATAGAGTACTGCAGATCGTGACCCCCTAACTTTTGCTGCTCAGCTTGACTGTCGATTCCATTTTAGGTGAACAATTCTCTATTTGAGCAAGCATGCAACGAACTTATCATCGCCGAAGGCGGCGAAGAGGTGGGTGACGAGTCGGTTGGGCTGCCTATTGTTTGCATGGAGACCACTACTCCTACTCAACCTCGCTTGTCCAACCGCTCCACCGCCGAGGCATCTACCTCCCCCAACGTTGATGGTGATCGTCAACGGGGTGGAAAAGAGGCATCCTCTCCGATCCTCTGTCGCCAACCCCTTGGCAAAACTTCATTGGCGCAGAGTTTACCGACTGCGTCGGAAGTATCTCAGGCACCTACTGAAGGCCACTTAAAGCAACTATCGCTGGGTCGTCTGAAGGAGGTACGTCCTTCCTGCCTCCGCACTCCCCCCCCCTCGGACACGCTTCCAGCTTTTCATACGTATCACTTAGTAGTAGTAGTAGTAGTAGTAGTAGTAGTAGTAGTAGTAGTAGTAGTAGTAGTAGTAGAAGTAGTAGTAGTAGTAGTAGTAGTAGTAGTAGTAGTAGTAGTAGTAGCAGTAGTAGTAGTAGTAGTAGTAGTAGTGACCGTGTTTTTTGTTGTCAGAATGTGGATAATGCCAAGGGCTTCTGGTTTCTGCACGGTTGTAGGTTTTTAGCACTCCGACGGCCAGCACTGAGCAACCGCAGGAAAACTCATCGGCGCCAACTACGGAGGAAGATGAACAGGATAGATCCTATGGGCATCTACGCGAGGCCTCCCGACGTGGCGATGAGGCCTTGCCCGACTTTGCCTCCTATTCCTCCTCCGTAGACACTGCTCCGACGATCGCTGTCACGCCTTCGCGACTCTCATCTCCCGGCCGCACTCCCCACCTTGATCCGCATGCCGAGAGGCACGCTCCGGATTCCCTTGTCTCCTCTCCGCCCCTTTCGCCTTCCCCCACGAAGGAATTGCATCCTCGACTCGGTATGCCATCTCCTCTCCCCCCATTCATACTTACGAGTTCTTGTTTACCTTGTGAGAAATTTTCGTTCATGCTATCTCTCTCTCTCTCCTGCCAACACGACAGATGGCTTTCGTCTATCGTGTGCTGACTGGCCATCCGGGGGCCACAACAAGTTGTGGTATGTGCATCACGAATTTGAGCTATGCTCACGACATTGCGGTGCTGGCGAACTCCTTTGTGTCCCAGCCACTTGCGAAGGCAGCCAAAGTGGACTTGAAAGCAAGCCTCTTTGAGGAGGTGTATGACGATTGCCTCGGGTTGCGCAGTCGCGATACTTTCTGGCTATTCGGCATCCTCTACTCCTTTAGGCCCAGAAATTTGCCAATGACGCAAATCAGGGATAGAAGCAACTGATATTATTGACAAAGACAAGGGAGACTGGAGTGGCCATTTCTGGCTTATTAGCCGTCGTCAGCCAGTCATATCCAACCCAGATCGGTGAGCGCCCCCTACCATTGTATATTCCCGATTGAAAACCGACAGGGCAACGGACTCGTGGCTCAGTAGTTAGAGGCGTGGACTTCTAACAAACAGGTCGCGAGTTCGAGCCTCGGGTGTGCCACACTTCGGGGTTGGGTATGACTGGCTGACGACGGCTAATAAGCCAGAAATGCTATTCCAGTCTCTCTTGTCTTTGTCGGTAATATCATTCTGCCTATATCATGCGCCGCTGTGCGGCTGCTGGTTGGGCTCGAGAGAGAGTCTATAAGGCACAACGGAACGAGTGAGTTCCGTAAGTACGATCGGTGAGCGCCCCCTACCATAGAAGCAACTATTGGATCAGCCGGGTGCGCACTGTCTTCGTCCGACCTCGTACTGCGTGCACCTTTCATTGTTGTGTTCATGTCCACCCTAGTCAACCTCGATGATGTTGCAGATTGTATCCTTCCACGCCTCACGATGTGCAGTAGTGAATCTGCAGGGTTCGGCCCACACCGACAAATACGGAATACAGACGGCTGTACAGATCTACCAGCAATTTCAACTAATTCAAGCGCAAATCACCGTTACCGCTCTCAACTTGCTCTGCAGCAGACAGTGGACATAGTTGGAATTGACGGTCGAACTGTCGTGTGTACATGGACGAGAGTTCAGCCACGTCAACCTCCCCCCCCCCACCCCACCCCACCCACCCACCAATCAACAGTCCTTTAATCAGAAGACGAAAATGTAATCACTGGAACAAGAAATTTATTGGCCTGGCGTTTCGGATTCTCACTCGAATCCATCATCAGAGACAGTCGCAGATCAAGTCCTTTAATCATTTGAACGCACTGATTGTGGGTAGACAGGGCGTCGCAGATGTTACACAGGCCTCCACCACTATTAGCCGAGTTCGTAGACAAGTCGTCGCTGTGTTGTCCTCGAGACCTTGGTGGTCCCGGTTCTTACACCACAACCCGTCTTGCAGCGCGCCTGTCTGTCCACGACTGCTTTTTCGTCAGACGCGAATCAAATTATCTCCCAGGTGGACTTTACTGCTGGACGTTTCAGGTAGCTGATAGTTGGGTCAACTGTCGGATCCCATCCTCTCAGAATTCCTGCGACTCCGCCTCCCCCCCCCCAACTGCTCACTGTAACATCAAAAGTAACTAATGTTTTCCTCTTTTTTGCTCTCAGTTTCTAATTTTGATTTGTAGCCCTGGCTCCAGGCCCAACGCCGAGCAATGGTCAGCCAATCATGTCCGTCGGTCGTGCTCGTCGGCTTTCAGCTTCCCCAACGGCCGATCTCCCGCCCTGGATTGATATGTTTGACGACTCGGAGAGCCCCATGATGCGAGGCAGCTTGAACGCAGCCAATGAGGCCTCTGCTGACGCCCTGGCAGACACCACAGCGGATTCCGTCCCGCCCTTGCGGTATACCTCGCGAAAGTACACCTGGTCGGCACCGCCATCTCCCGTGCGGGGACCCCGTTCGTCCACAGCCCCAGTGAAGGAGACTCGAACCGACCTGCAGCATGTGGTTTCGTCTGAATTGCCTGATGCCGATAGCTTTATCCTTCCTCGGGTCCCGCTCCTCGCCAGCGATCTCAATTCACACTCCTCCGCTTCAAACAGTGTGAAGCCTGACCCAGCACGGTCGCCGGTCTCTGTAGCTGTTTGTTCTTCAACCTCTGATGCGGTACGTTGTCTTTTCTTGAGCATGGTGGTTCCTGTGCATCCTTAACCACCCCACTCCCTCCTACTCCACCGGGGACAGCAGGGTTCAATCATCGTAGACAACGGCAGAATGTACACTGAGGTCCCCTTACTCTCTGCTAAGTGAAGTTTCCTATCGGATACAGACGCGCCTGGACTGTTCACAATCCGGTAGTTCGATCGTCTCAAGCGATGGCTTCCACGATGTCGTTCCTGGTGGTCCGGGCGACTGCAGTGTCACATCGTGTAACCAACAGCCATCACTTCTGGTTGCCCCTGTTCGGGGACTCGGTTCTCGCTGAGAGCTGCAATGTCGACTTTGTGGAGCGTCGCTTTTCGAGCAAAGAACAGCGTCGTTTTTTCTTCTGGCCGGTCGCTCAGCGGATTGTCTGAAAAAGAACGAGCATTCCAGGCCGCCAGAGTGAGCAGAGCCACTGCAGCAACCTGTGGAGTGGAGCGGAGACAATTGTGACACAAGGGTTGTTATTTGTCGTGATTTTTCGACCACGAGTTTTACACAGTCAGCGGTCGACTCCATGAACCCTAGAAAAACTGCCATTTCTGCCATCTCATCTTGCCACCTTGTGTGACAATCCTGGGGTTCTCTCTGATAGCTTTTAGGTGAGGTAACTAATGCAGCTTCTGAGATATGATCTCGGTTGGGAAGAATTGCTTATGTGGTGCTGTATGATTGAGCATCATGAGAGAAAGCTATAAGCTGAGCTAGGGACTAGAGGGTGGGGCTCCGTCACGTAAACGTGACCGGAGGTCGGCGTTTTGTCTAGCCGGAGTCCACTAGACCGACACCGGGTGCTATTGGATACGCAGTCGTATGCAAAAAAATGAAACGCAAACGAAGGAACGCTTCCGGTTACTCGACCTCCGCTGTGACCGACGATAGTAACCCAAAGAAAATCACAAAAAAACAAGCAGATCGAATCCAGGCTACTGAAAGCAGATACAATGCTTGACCGATCTCATGAAATGTTGGCCGAAATTCTGGAATGCGTTTCCAATTATGAAGGATTTCTTAAGTGGCTTTGTTATACTGATTATCATTCAGCATAACCCTATAGCATTTCGGACTCGACTGGATGTCGGCTTTTAAACGCACTTCTTTTTGAGCTCCTGCGGAAACCACACTCGGTAAAAAATGGCCACTTATGTAGCATGCATTTTTCCCATCGATTTTCGATGGTCTTATAAATTCAAATATATTTTATAGAAAATATGCACAAAATATACTTTCTTCTGCTCATTTATAGGAAATCACATTATCTTCATATTTTATGCCTGATGAAAGTGTGTATTTAGATTTTTAAAAAGTTTCCGGATTCTCGAATAATTTTCAGCTCGATCTGCCATTACATCGACGTTTAACAGTTTCAGTCTACAAGGTACACGCTTTACGCGTAAGGAAAATCATATATTCCTCTATGCCTTTAAGAAGATACCACATAAAGTTCATGACATTTTGCAGTGGATCCGGACTGTGTTGTACAATTCATGAGGAGCATTATTAAACAGACATGTGCGGTGTTTCATGCATGGACATCGCGCGGTCCTAAAAATCTCATACTTATAAGCTTTTTAAAACCTAAATATACACTTTCTTCGGGCATAAAATATGAAGACAATGTGATTTCCTACTAGCTGACCATCGAAAGTCAATTGGAAAAATGCATGCTACTTAAGTAGTCATCTTTTACCGAGTGTGGTTTCTGTAGGAGGCCAAAAAGAAGTGCATTCAAAGGCCGACATCCAGCCGCGTCGGAAATGTTATAGGGTTATGCTGCATGATAATAAGTATAACAACCCCCTTCCTGATTGGAAACACATTCCAAAATTTTGGCTAACATTTCATGAGATCGGTCACACGCTGTAAGTAGGCCACTACGCAAAGTTCAACCGATCAGTTCAACAGTCAGTCCTACCACTGACGTTATATTTTAGGATTTCAACGAATGGTTCGTGAGCTGCACCAGGCTTTCCCCTCTTTGCTCCTTCTAATTTCCTCCCGCCCCTTCTTGCCTGCCTTCCAACTCGGCAACACACTACTGTGCTCTTCTTTTTTTCACCACCAGATTTCCGCAGCTCCCACCACCGCCACCTCGGCCTTGTTTGTGACCTACGACCAGGCGCCGGTCTTTGCCCTCCCCTCCTACAGCATTCCGCGGCCCATTCAACCCACAGTGCGATCCCATCGGCTCACCCGTATCTCTCTTCCCAACGGTCAGAGGATGGTTGGGCCAGGCGATGAGGCCGCTGATCCGGCTGCGGCGGCGACAGCAGTCCTCGAGACGACCAACTCTGCCTCCCCGACCTCCTTCCGCGCCGCAATCAACACACCGGAGATGGTGATGCAGATTCTCAACGGTACCGTGCCGGACTCTTCCCCCGCCGGCCGACGTCTGCCCGCCTCGCCCTCCTCATCGGTGTTTGAAGACCGTTCCCGCGTCAAACGGCGAGTTGGCCGACTGACTGATGGGGGAGAGGAGGAGGTGGGCTGTTACAGTCCCCATCGGGGCGGGACCCTCTTTGGTCGCCCCGCTCTGTCAGCAGCTGTCACCAACGGCTCGCTGGAATTGCCCCAGGGGGTCCTACTCAGTCGTAGGCCGCCCCCTTTCGTCATCAGCGAATCCGAGTTCGATGAGGAGGGGGATGAAGAGGACGTAGATGGCGAAGGATATCCCGTCGAGTGAGTGCTGTATTCAGTCTTGGCTAGTTGGGCGTGGGTTCTTGTTGCTTATCAGATTTGGCCGTCCTAGCTGCATGTTTGTTCCTTACCCCTTCTGTCTAAATTGAACCGTCATGTTAGAATTATAGACAGAGGCAGCTGTTTTTAGCAGCTTTCAGTATTCCAGCCCACGGACTGCTGTGTGTGTAGGAACCGTGACGCGCACCCATGAATTAGTAGACTTGCGCAGTATCTGTTGCACCCTCTCCTCCCGAAACCCGTGTCAAGACATAGTCAAGGAGACCGGAGACGGAGTTAAGCGTATTGGTTAATGAAGCCAAAAAACCCATCTACGCATTCTGTACACGCCTGATCCGCGTACAATGGACTGGGTGCTCACAGAAGCAAGGAGCAACCGCATGCAGAAGAGGAGCCATTGCACTCTGACTCCGTCCTGATGGGAGGGCCCAATTGTCCTGTCAGTTGTCATTCATTCAAACCACGACTTTTGCCACTTAGAAGTACAGTAGGTGGGCTAACTCATGAAATGTCAACCGAAATTCCGAAATCCGTTTTCGTTTCGAAAAAATTAATTAAGTTGGGTCGTAAAACTAGTCAGCCTGCAACATAATTCTACCATAATTCAGCTACCCCAGGGTGCTGGCTTTCGAATGAACTTCCTTCCAGCTGTATGCAAGAACTATACTATGCAAAAATGATTACTTAAGTGGCATGAATTTTGCCCATTGATTTTCGATGCCCCTAACAGTCCAATTATATTTCACGGAAAACATGCATAAAGATATTCATTCTTCCGCACATTCGGTGTAAAATTACGTCGTCTTTCAATTTTATATTCGAAGGAGGGACATAATCCGGTTTTCAAAAACTTTTCTTATTCCCGAAGAATTTTGAACCCGCTCTGCCGTTACACTTGCATTCAGGGTTTCCAAACTACATGTCATGTATTTTCCGCTTACGGAAATCCACACATTCCTTTACGCTATTGAGGGGGGACCATATAGGGTCCATACAATTTTGCATTGGCTTTGATCTATATTGTTAACTTTACAAGCCACATTAGCGAATGCAGCTGGTCAGTCATCTGATGGGGTGATTGTACACAGGTGACTTGCAGAGCTAAGCAGCCCGTCTGCGCGTTACCCCCACACACGACCTGACCCTCTGCACAGCGCACCAGGATTTCACATGAAGGGAGTCTTTGTGGCTCGTGGAGCATACAACAAATCCGAATAAGTCACAGCACAAGTTGCAAAACCCTTCAGGGCCTATTGAAATGCTAGGAGTGTATACACCTGGAAGGTTACCCACTGACATTGATACCGCTGTCGCCCTGCCGGATCAGGTTAAGGCCACAGTGGCCCCTTCATTACCTGCTTTTTTCCGCATTCGTGAGGTCGAAGACTTCCATGTGGAGCTGGAATCGGCATGTCTATAGTACTTGCGAGTGGGTCGTTTTGTCGGTCCTTTTGGCCTTGTCCCGCCATTTGAATAGGGCACGTGCTTGGCAAGAGAGAAGGCGAATGAAATAAAGGATGCGCAAGCCGCTCTCACCAATGCCCAATTTGGACACAAATCAGCACAGCACCCCTCCCTACCTCCTTCCGTGGTAATGGCTGGGCCTGGACGTCTTCCTTGGAAGACGTATCGCACATGAATGACGCTGATCGTGTACTCGTACGCAAATGATAATACACAATTCAAGCCTGGAATAAGTCATCCCATTAATCATAGCACGTGCATTCTAACGCTGGTTTATGGCATGTGCTCAATTTCGAGAACAGCTACTGTGATCTTATATAAACTCCAAGTGACCACGTTTTTCGAAACACTGTGATCCAGCAAAATAAATCACAACTACATTTAAAAACTAAGATAATCGCAAAAGCAAAGTACTAATTCCCCTTTAAGTAAGTTAGATCGAACGTTTAGGACTTCTTTGTCCGGACACCTGAGAAAATGCGATGCAGAGAGGACTGCGGATTTTCGACACACGGGGAATGTGGCTAGAATCAACTGGACCCCGACGAAACTACTACACCGACATTCGGTCGAAATTCAGTAGATGTGCATCGTTCGGTGGAAATTGACCAGTGAATTCTGGCCAGTAATGAGGTGCAAAAGAACGAACTTTGTCATTTAGTCATAAAGGATTTTTAGTCTTCTTCTGCCCGACGCGCAATTAAGATTTCCTTTCAGTTAAACCCGATTCAAACCTATATTCCACTTAGGTCGCGCGTTTTCTAGTAATCGGTTTAGAGCCACCATGCCATCGGCTACCTGAGTCGTCTTGGGTTTCAGTGACGCTCTCAGACCTTAGTAATTCTTTTTCAAGTAACCAGTATTCTCATAAGAAGGTCCCAGCACTCCATGGCCGAAGCACGAGAAACGGTCTATAAACCTGGATGTTGTAATTGAGCCATTTTCGTTTCCCCTTAAGCCGGTACGTTCAGAGTGCCAGAATGTAATGCCCTTTATGATTCCATTACGCATTTACAACATTCGATTAGTGGGATGACAGCTCGCTGTTCCGTTTGGTCGATGTGTATTTTTTTTAAATTGCGCTGTCGGCGATTAGTGGCGTCAATCCCTACGCATGAGAATTAGTGTTGTTTTGTGGAAAATAAACAAATTCCTGTCCGTGAGCACAACAATTGTCGTATTTTTGAGGAAATGAGAGACATGGGGATATTTCCCGCTTTTCAGTGCCTTCCGTCTATTAGTATACGATTTTCTTTATTCCTGGTTTGATTAAAGGCCTCTTATTAGTGTTTTGAGTGTTTTAACCATATTTTTGCCTGCTCTGGATATTAAACCCCCATTTCATTTGTTAATTTCAGGGAACAACTGTTGACTCAAAATCGCTTCCGAACTCATACCACCCTGAATTTGAAGAAGAACGCCAGTGATGTTGAGACCCTGTAAAGGTAAGAGTAGCTTCTTAGTTAGCGATAGCAAGCGGTGCCATTTGTTTTTGTTAGCCAAAAACCTAAGTTAAGCGTATTTAAGGAACCTGCGCCGTCAGCCCAATAAATCATTCAGTACTTGTTTATTACTGAATTTGCCCCTAAAACGAGCCAGCCGACAGATGAGTGGACCAAGACGGGGGGGCTATACCGGAGTCTGGCAGGTGTTATTCTGGAATGTGACGCACACGGTGGACATCGTTGGTCACTACGGTCAAACTGTCGTATATTAATGACTGCCTGTTGACTGATTATGAATCTTGCGCGGTAATTGAGCAGTAGCTGGTTGATGTTGTCTCAAATATTCTCATCAACGTTTGGAGGGGGGGCGAAGAAATCTACTCCAAGTTCGCGCAGTAATTTGCGAAGAAATTAAGATGGGCAGGACCGTGCCGCATGTCTGTAAGCGAATGCGCAGCGCTTTGTATTCAGGCCCTGTATCGATATTCTGATCCACTAAACTCTCATAAGTGGCCCAGACTCGTGCTTATACTGCCATTATAATCACACAAGTCCGACCGAACGCATGCTTGGATTGCGCATACACGAGCATACGTTGACTGTACGGCGGGGTGGCTAAACACAAAAAGTGGCTGTTCTGTGACCTGCGAAACAGACCACGAGTTTAGCTTCACATCTTGGCAAGGTAACTGCTCATACCGGAGGCCAGACAAGCCGGGAGTTGAATGAGACTGGCTTCGGATGAGACCTCAGTAAACCGGCATGTTGACCCGACTCCGACATACCGAGCCTTGCGCAGCCACCTACAGACCTACCGCGCTGTTTGCTGGTTGACCAACGACCCTCCCTAGCTGTCGACATCTCTGTCGATGACCCTGAGAAACCATGGCCACGTGAGTTGTGGGAATCTTACTACTGGTTCTCCATGGCTGTATACATGCAATCGTGCTTTCCCGTGGGAACATACAAAAACCTCTGTCCTTATTGGTTATTTCCAGGAATTAGCTTCTTCTTAAAATATGAGCTTCTTTGAAGGAGGCCTTTTGGTTTGGGACACTCACCTGTCTGCGAACCTTACTATGTTTCCCAGAAAGTGTCGAGAGGGGAGAGATGTGACCGCTGGAACATGAATCTTAAATATCAGAGTTAACAGCAGTTATGAATGATGAGCGCATAAGGACTGCAGCAGTTATTACGTACAACAGTTCAACCGTCGTTTCCGATGATGTCCACAGTGTGCACCACGGCAGAGTGGACGCTGGGACGGTAACTTGCGCAGTAGTAGACTTGAACGGCATCTACCGGACTTTCCTCCTCCACCTGGACCCGGTGTCATGACCAGGTCAAGAAGACCGGAGGCGGGAGAGGGTGCAGGTGGTTGGCATAGCGAAAACCCGTACCCAGGCGTTCCACCATTTTCCCTGGTCCACAACAAACACTTGACCAGCTCAGATCGCAATCGGCGCGACGTAGGCCTGCACGTGGGTGTGCCACCACATTCTCAGTGTGGAAAGTTGTGAGTGCGCATTCCCAATAACGCGTACCGAATCCCGTCTAACTCGTGAGTTGGTCCAGCGAATCTACCGCGTGGCCAGTTTTTGGGGCGAGGGTTATCAGTTAGAGTTGATATACAACCGCCTACCCCTCAAAATTAACGTCTCCCGCGTTCATTGCCGGTAGTCCGACTTGGCGCGCTGCACACTTGATCGTCCGCCTTCGAGTCCTGTCGCAATTTCTGGAAACAAGGATTTGCATCCACGTGAAGTTTTGATCCACGCTCGAGCCTTTCTTCGGAGACAGCAGCAGGGATTGCATCAGCCTGTGGCTTATGCGTTTGTCGCCTTTCTCGCGTTAGAATTCCGGTCTCATCTAGCTTGAAAATGCGATCGGGTCCAGTTAACTGCATTGCGATCCTACAGCTGGCTTCGTAGGTCTACTGCTCGTCGTCGAATGGCTCTGAACGCCGTTTTCTACAATGGGGTTCGACGCGCTGCTAATAGTGGCTTGGAAGGTTGCCATATGCCGCGATAACTCAGTTTTATCCAGGACTTTCGTGGTAGATCTGTTGCGTAACTCGTCTGTCCCGTGGTGGAGATCATCGTATGCGCAGCACGCGTAGATGATTTCAGCCTCCCTCGACCACAACTACTTTCAGTCGTGCGCTGACGTTTCCCTTCTTTTTGAGAAGTAGTGGTCTACGTCGTCCTGTACAGAACGGAGCGCACTGTTGAGCACCCGCTTCCACCCATCTCCATGTTCGTACCTGAAAATTTTGTTTTAGAATGGCCCGCTCTCGTTCGACCTACGATTGCCCCTGTAATCTTTCTGCTTTTGCAGTTCGCAGTGCCTTCTAATCGGATTGGGCGAAAGTGCCGTTCTCATTTCGCAGCCTGACTTGGAGGACCCGCTTCCTTTCATTTATGGCCGTGCGAATGGGCTCATTTCTCGTCCTCCTCCCCCTCCTCCTGCTCATGCAAGACAGCCCAGTCACTCCTAACTTTTGCTGTGCTGGTGGTATCCTCACCACCTACAATGGTACCCTTCTGCGTCTCTGTGAATGCACCAACACAGGCCTCCGCCCCACGTCTTCCCTCTTCTGGGACAGGA